TCAATGATAGGTGGCAATAACTCACACTCCTCTTATCCTAAACAGATCTAACCTGTGTTTCTTTAAAAAACAAAACAAAAAAAAAACAAAGCAGGTTATGCTTCCCAGCGGTCTTTTTCTTTTTTTCCACTCGATATTATGAGCCAGGGCTCGACAATAAGGACTGCCCGATGGCCCGGGGCCAGCGTGCGAGACACTCGGGCCAGTGTACAAAATGTTACTGGCTCGATCGGGCCAGCTGCTGCCTTTTTGCCTGCCAGATCGAGCCAGAGCTGCGTGCTGCGACTGTCTGTCAATTGTGTGCAAATACAATCTTACGGTGCTTTCACACATAGACGTTTGTTTCGGAATCTGTCTCGTTTCACCCGTTAGCGCGTTTTTTTTAGCATATATCCAGCAGTTGCGCTCGCTTCCGCGCCAAATCAATCAGTCCAAGATCGCCTGAATGAGACGCGGTCTCTGCCCTATTGAGCAGATCGATTGTAGCGAGAAAACAAAACAATGCAACGAACTAACGACCCAGGCTATATCACAGTGTATCATGATCGTGTAATAGCCATATATACGGCTATATGAAGAGGGAATGATGAGCAGGGCGAGATGTCATTCTTACCGGTAAATGCGAAAGTGAAAGCATGCTGAAATATTACCGAGAGCTGTTTGTCCAGCCTGATCTCGGTTTATCCGTCAGGAAAATTGACCGAAATTACTATCTGTTAATTTTTCCATATTTTAATCGTATAATATGTTGTATTAGGCCTGTTGTTTTGTTCATTTCCGCACTGACAGCTCGAAAGAAAGATTTACATTGATCTGATGCAGTCTCGGTTCATCTGCTATGTCTCTCTATAATTTAAGCCTAAAATACAGAATTATAGTCAACGTTTCTTTAATAGATTGATTAATTCAATAGATCGATTTCTACAAAACCTGACAATTGAAATGAGGCTCTGTATATATGAGAAAGTCTGACCTCGATTTGTATTTGGTGACGATGTCTGTGGGTTGTTAAAATTAAAGTGCACATTTTCACTTATAAAATATTCTATACACAATACACAAAAGTTTGGGGTCAGTGTGATTAAATATGTTAAATTAAGCTTCTTCTGCTCACCAGGGCTGCAATTATTTCATCATAAATACAAATTGTGAAATGTTGCACTATAAAATAACTGTTCAAAAATAGTTTATCATTTAATTTATTCATTTATTCCAGTGATTTTAAAGATGAGATTTCAGCTTCATTACTCCAGTCACATGATCCTTCAGAAATCACTAATATTAATTATTATTATATTTATTAATGGTAATAGTTATAAAATCAATAATGTCTGGAGTAATGATTTTATTTGAAACTACATACAATAACAAAGCAGTTATTTAAAATTTTGATAAATATTTAACAATTAAACCTTTTTTACATTTATAAATATAGCCTTGATGAACTGAATAGTTTTCCTTAAGCATTTTTAAAATTACTGTAAATATATATACAGATTTATTAGCCCCCTTTTGTTTTTTGTTTTTTCTTTTTAAAATATTTCCTAAATGATGTTTAACAAAGCAAAGAAATGTTGATATTTTGTCTGATAATATTTTTTCCTCTGAACAAAATCTTATTTGTTTTATTTTGGCTAAAATAAAAACATTTTTTTAAGCATTTTAAGGTAAAATTTATTAGCCTCTTAAGCTAATTGTTTTTCAGACTGTCTACAGAACAAACCATCATTATACAATAACTAGCCTAATTACCCTAACCTGCCTAGTTAACCTAATTACCCTAGTTAAGCCTTTAAATGTCACTTTAAGCTGTATAGAAGTGTCTTGAAGAATATCTAGTAAAATATTATTTACAGTCATCATGACAAAGATAAAATAAATCAGTTATTAGAGATGAGTTATTAAAACTATTATGTTTAGAAATGTGCTGAGAAAATCTGTTCTCTGTTAAATAGAAATTGGGGAAAAAAATAAACAGGGGTGCTAATAATTTAGGGGGACTAATAATTCTAAAATCAACTGTGTGTGTTTGTGTGTGTGTGTGTATACACACACACACACACACACACACACGCACATTCAAATAGCGATTAACTTCTTTTTTTTTTTTGGTGGGGCCAGTGAAAATTTGGGCAGGGCAAGTAAAAATCAGAACCACTGGCCCGATCGGGCCAGTAGAAAAAATCCTTAGCGTTGAACCCTGTGAGCACTGCTTAGTTTAAACCCTCGCTATTGTAACGCATATAAATACATACACTAATATTTGCTGGTAGGAAAAATCTATTTGTTCACTTCTGTTATTTATACTTTAATGTGCATTTCAATTTTTTTCTTCCACTTAACTGCAAATTTGAATAAAAACTGGATAAAGAGCACACAAACATGCTGACAGTAATAGGTACTGTACACTGTTATGGGTCAATGATGCTAATATTCGGCACAAATCCATCAGTTTCTTAGGTTATTAGATTATTTTATAATTTCACCTCTCCTGCTGTGCATGAACTATGCTGTTGAATGTTCAGCGTATGAGGTGGCTAGGCTAACCTTGCTTCAATTTTGATAAAATTATTTTCTAATCAGTTGCTATTATGTTGTGAATATACCCCTGTAATGTATACTGCAGTCCTCTTTTGTCTGGCTTTCTCAGATATCTCACCTGTTTGCCAAAAATGACTAATTAAATCCTTAGGGAATGTCTGACACCAGCGCATACACACTGTAATAGATGTGCCAGGCATGAAAGCTTGACAGGCGTAGCAACAGTAACTAAGGAGGGCGAGGCTTAGCGAAGGGTTATTCCAAGAATGTTGATATGGTTTCTTTCTTGCTTTACTATTTATTAACAATACACAAAAAACTAAAAGGTTAAGGTAAATTCTTTAATAAATTCTAGTGTTTTTGAGTATTATACTTGTTGTATACTTGTATTATACTTATGTTTTAGGCTAGTATTATTTACGACTTGTTAATTAATGCTTGATAATACAGTAGTATTACCAATAGTGAACAGATAAAATAATACAAAGTGTAGTTTTAACTACAGTAAAGTGTAGTGATTTGTAGTATAAAATACCCTATATTGTAAAATAATACAGCACTGGGTAATTTGTTTATATTACACTTGTGTTACCATAGCAACTATAGTATTACCACAACTGATCAATTGAAGTTCTTTACTGTAGTAGGCTACTGTTCAAAACACAGTACATGCCAATATACGTGTTCAGGGGCCCTGTGGCACAGCTTTCCTCAAAATGAAGAGGATGACATGGAAAATGTCCTCCACAATCTCATCAGTAAAGTGGAAGCCAGCAGACACTAGTTTACTTTATTTTAGCTGCCATGATAAAATGAGATTGATAGTGAGATTTATTTGAAGAGTGAATAGTACAGTAGGCTATAATACCTTATCAAGTGTTTCCTTATTTTTATCACAGTTACATTTCTGCTTGCATTAGTTTTTGTTTAAATGCTTTTAAAATAAAATGTATTCTTTACATCCAACATCTATTCCAGGGGTGCCTTATAGTGGTGTAAACCCCTTTACAAGGGGTGTTTCCCCTGTGTAAACTCTAGCCACCCCTGTGGCCAACCCGATATGATTTTGCTGTTGACAGTATTTATTTAAATCTACTTACATAAATGCAATACAATGCAATATTTCAATAAATAAATAGCAGCCACTAAATTATTGTGGATTGATTGGTGCCACTGGCGTAGCTGGCCTCTTCTGGCCCCCCTTAAGCAAATTTTCAGGGGGGCACCACTGGTCTATTCTCTGTATTTAAGTGTTTGAAACTGAAAATATCTCATCATATAAAACAACCAAAAATGTTATGGTTTATTAGATTAAACATTTAATATATAAGTCTATTTTAGTATTTTGGGTATTGTTATTAAACAGTGCAGCAATATGAATCATATCAAAAAGCATGAAAGGAAGAGGGAACACGACACAAATTGTGAGTTTGCATATAATCTCTGAGAGCGCTCAAGAAAATTTGTGTGTGAGCAGTGCATATTTGAGAGCAAGAGAAAATTTGAGAACTCGCAATCAGTTTTGTCCACAAACAGAGGAAATCCGTGCACGAGCATCACACAAGGTAGAGAGCAAAGCTCTTCAACGTTATGTGAAGAAAACAACGTTATTGTTTGTATGAAGTAGCCTACTTCATTAACAATATGTGCTACCATTTTACATTGCTGCTAGACGGATTTGCAACTCCATCTCTTTAGCACACACGAGATTCAATTGACAAAATTCCAATTTTACTCAATTTAACTTTGCAGCATATACAGGAGTTGTTGGTCTACTGCTACCACATTGAGGTTATGTAATTTTGGTTAATCACAAGTTGATCACCGAAGACATAACATAGCACAACTAAACTTAATGAATTAGACAGCAGTAGACCTGCAATTTCTGTGTGATGTGAGGCAAAATGGAGTCTTTTTTTTGGTGGAACTCGTTCTTGTGCATTATGCTGTGGAGACGAGACGCAGCACTGTTCAGTACTTTTTCAAAAAATTGCATTTGTATTTTTATATATCTAAGCAATGTTCTTTAATAAAAAAAGGTTTGTTTAATTAATACAGATCTTACAACCATACCTAATCTGTATATATTTTATTTTTCTGTTAAAAAGACTCGAAAAGACTCGAAAATCAAACTGCAGGACTTTGGACTTGACTTGAGACTTGTTGCCTTTGACTCGGGACTTGACTCGGGACTTGCCTGTCTTGACTCGGGACTTGACTCGGGACTTGAGGGCAATGAATTGAGACTTACTTGTGACTTGCCAAACAATGACTTGGTCCCACCTCTGGTAAATACTGTACATACAGATGTACATACGTTTAAAAAAATCTAAATATTCAGAAATTGTAAGGATTTAATATGCTGATGACCATTAGACACATCATAACAGTCCTGTGAATAACTGGAAAGTGGAGAAGAAGACATTTGAATCTACTGTCTCCTGCATTTATTTTCTCACCTTCCTCAAAGCCATCCCTGAAAGACCCTGAGCGGCTCATAGTGCGGGTCTTCTCATCCAGAGACATGCAGGAGTTGCGCAGACGGGAATCAGCATGGCTGTCTAGCGGGTTGTCCTGACTGGTCAAGCTGTTGTTGCGCAGGCTGGCCAGGTTAATCTGAGCACCTGTTGTGGGGCTTCCTGTAGATAACACAAACTTACATTCAATTCTATCAAACAAAACAAATATTTTTAAAAAAATTATAAAAGACCTGCCAAAGTTTCTACCACAGTGCGAAAAATAAAAAAGGTACAATAATTGCGAATTCTTAAAGGTGCAGTATCTAGCATTGACACCTAGAGGTTAAAATAGGTACTGCAGTACAAATTCAAAATATGTTTATTTCAGTGACACACATGCAGGTTGCCAGATTGACGACATCAAGAGGAGCGAGCATGCTTGAGGATTGAGCCATAAACTGTGAGGTGCTCAGCTAATGTTTACTTTTGTAACATTCATTCATTCATTCATTCATTTTCTTGTCGGCTTAGTCCCTTTATTAATTCGGGGTCGCCACAGCGGAATGAACCGCCAACTTATCCAGCATGTTTTTACGGAGCGGATGCCCTTCCAGCCGCAACCCATCTCTGGGAAACAACCAAACACACACTCATTGACACTCATTCACTATGGACAATTTAGCCTACCCAATTCACCTGTACCGCATGTCTTTGGACTGTGGGGGAAACCGGAGCACCCGGAGGACACCCACGCGAACGCAGGGAGAACACGCACACAGAAACGCCAACTGACCCAGCCGAGGCTCAAACTAGCGACCTTCTTGCTGTGAGGCGACAGCACTACCTACTGCACCACTGCGTCGCCATTATAACATTTATTTTGTTTGTTAATTAAAAACCAACTACAGTGTATTTTTGGCTGCATCCATATAAATCGTTGACTGAAATGAGATATGTGGTGCTTTCCACCAAGGCAACCCGGGGTGCTGAAATATAATTGAGGAAACTGGCAGTGGGCAGGTTAAAGAGACCCAAACAGACAGACATTTCGACATGAAACATTTTCAAAGCAGAATAACTGACTGAAGCATTGCTTTTTAGATAAACAAGTATTTTCATATAGTATGTTTCTTAAATATCTGCAAGCATATTGTGGTATTTTTATGCTTTAGAAGAGATAAAAACTTACATACAGCACCTTTAATATCTTACATACAATACCTTTATAATATTTAATATTTATATATAACATAAACTTAACATTTCGCTTACTTTTCTTTTTAGAACTGCTAATTGTCTTGCTGGCAAAAATAATAAACAAAACATTTCTTAAAGTTCTAACTTTTTTTTTTCTTCAGAATTGCAAGATATAAACTTGCAGTTGTGTGTTTACCAATTTAAATTGTAAGAGATAAAAACCAGAATAGCAAAATGTGAACTCGCAATTGCACATTTGTAGGAGTTATTGCAGGTATTTATTGTTTTTTTTAGCTTATAGTTTGAAATTCTATCTTCTTCTCGTGGCAAGATATTAACATTTACAATCCACAATCTAACACTGTTTCCAATGTTTCCTACATACAAAACAGTTCTTGCAGTTTCTTGCAATTATTTGTAAAAATGATAGATAGATAGATAGAAATGAAATGTTCATTTTTTTCATTTAAAATCAATCAATCCATCCATTCATCGTAAACCCCTTTTAACTTTGACTGACAATATATGGAAAATATTATGTAAGGATTTTACTGTACATTTATTCATAATATATGTGTTTTACCAAGCTGAGCAAAGTTAAAGCGTGTGCCGGATGGTGACGTGAGGCTGGAGCCAGTGGAGAAGGGAGAGTTGCTGGCTGAGTCCTGCAATCCACCAGCCGAATGTGAGCGCAGCCAATCACGAGCCTCCTCCTGACGCAGTTGCTGTGAGGGGGCGTACCTGCAACAACACCACCACCCAATCAGCATTCAGCATTCAAACATCGCTAACTCCATTTTAATTTCTATTTGCCATATTTCTACTAGGCTTCAAAAGTCTAATATTTATATTCTGCAAGAATACATTATTGTTGTAATGGGTTTTTTTTTCTTTTCTTACTGTTAACAATTTCCTGTAGAATCTTCAGTAACATACTGGCAGCAGTTCGCCGGGAACTTACTGTAAATCATTTACAGCAAAAATACTATATTTATATTTACAGCACCATTTCTCTTGCTGTATATGTATTTACAGAATTGTATGTTTACCTTTACTGTAAAATACAGTAATTTTTACAATACAGCTATAAAACACAGTAGCATACTGCATAACTGTCCTACAGTTAAATACAGTTTATATCACAGCTAAATACTTCATCATTTACACAAATTGTAACAGTGTATTTCTCAAAATTTAACCCTATATTAAATTTAAAAATCCTAAATAAAAAAAAAAAAGAGTTTGTTTCAATAATAATATTAGGCATAATATTAAACTGCTTTGTGTCCACTCTAAATTATTAAACAAAATCATCAAATATATATTAAGATTTCACTATACTACAGTATTTTAAAAAATAATAATTATTATTATCCTTGGTGCATACAAGAATTTTTTTTTTTATGTCTTAGAGATGCCTTAGTTTAAGGCTTCAAACTGAAATACACCACTAAAATTTATCATTAAAAATGAGAATTAACAAAAGTTTGGCTTTAATTTAGAAGAAAAACATACATTTACAAAAAAAAACTGTTAATTAACATAAAATACTCTATACAAAAAGTAACAAGTGCCATGCGCTAACACCAAAACTGCAACACAAAACAGTGCTCAAAAATTAAACGGTGGCCATATTGCATATTAAAACATGAAAAAGCATGTATAAAAGAGAGAGAAAGACAGAACAGAAAGAAGTGTCAGTGCTGTCAGAAAGATCTGTGTACTTCCATAATGCACCTGAAAGTGTTTTGATCACTGAGAGACGGATAACAAGAAACAGTGAGGGAGGAGAAGAACATGTAGAGCTTGCTCAATCTTAAGAGGGTAGTTTTCCAGACACATAATATAGTTTAATTTTATTATAATTGCACTATTAAAGCTAATTATTCTTTGATCTGCTCTTTGATTAATCTATAAATCTTAAGAGTTAAAAAATAATGCCGAATGTACGGTTAAAGTAATTATTAAAAAAAAGCAAACAAACCTTCTTTGTAATCATAAGTTGTGGATTTTGTCACTAGGTGTCGCTATAGCAACAAGTGCATTCATGACAAAAAATGTATCTCATGGACATGATTTTATTTTTATTTTTCAATAATAATAAAAATGATGCCATTTTTACATACAGTTGAAGTCAGAATTAGCACCACTGTTTATTTTCCCCAATTTCTTTTATCTTTGCCATGATGACAGTACATAATATTTGACTAGATATTTTTCAAGATTCGAGTATTCAGCTAAAGTGACAATTAAAGACTTAACTAGGTTAGTTAGGTTAACTAGGCAGGTTAGGGTAATTAGGCAAATCATAGTATAACGATGGTTTGTTCTGTAGACTATTCAAAAGAATTTGCTTAAAGTAGCAAAGAATTTTGACCTTACAATCTTTTTTTTTTTATTTATTAAAAACTGTTTTTATTCTAGCCAAAATAACAAAATAAGACTTTCTCCAGAAGAAAAAATATTATCAGACATACTTTGAAAATGTCCTTGCTCTGTTAAATATCATTAGGTAAATATTTAAAAAAGAAAAAATCAAAGGGGGTTAATAATTCTGACTTCAGCTGTATATGTTATAGTCATTGCTTTTAAGCATTCACAAGAATAGATGACCTCAAATCGATATAAACACAAAAGATCTCTGTTTTTAAAATTTTTTTTTTTTTGAATTTTGACTTAATTAAATATATTTAAAAAAAAACTCTAAATGTGACCCTGGACCACAAAACCAGTAAAAAGTGTACATATTTGGAGATTTATACATTAAATGAAATATGGCTGGGTGATTAATCAAAAAGTAATCGAATTCGACACTCAGAACCTATAATCAATCTAGTTTTTCCAGGTTGATTCTTTGATTACTTTCTCTACCGACCAAGTCATGCGCCACATGACCCCACTGAACTGAAAAATGTTCAACCCTTTGCAGGAAGATCTGATTTCTATAGTGTTATTTCAATGACAAATGTTGTGAGCGCAGTATTATATGTTGAGTATTACATTCATTTAATACTAGCGTTAAAAAATAATATAATTTTTTACTTATTTGAATTGTTTAGATAAATATGATTTATTTTTGGCCGTCACGGTGGCGTAAAACATATGCTGGATAAGTTGGCGGTTCATTCCGCTGTGGTGACCCCAGATTGATAAAGGGACTAAGCCGAAAATAAAATAAATGAATGACTGAATGAATAAATGAGATTGTAAATAGTTTGTGTTTCCTTAAGTTAACTTAAAATCAAGTAATGCACCCTTCATTCAAAATATTTACTGTACAAAACTATGAAACCAAAAAAATGTATAAAACAATTGTTCATTAATCGTAATCAAGTTAAAATGTTCAATTAATTGAGTAATGATATTATTGAGATACAACTCTATTTTGAAAATCTGAAATCTGAGGGTTCAAATAAATTAAAAAAACAGAGTTTTGACATATTTACAGTAGAGAACTTACAAAATACTACCATGGAACATTATATTTACTTAAAATGATAATGATTTTTGCCATAAGTAAATCTATTTAAGAAATCTACACATTTGGAGCTATTGCTATTGTTTTGTGGTCCAGGGTCACACATATAACATTTTAATCAATATAATAAAGATAAAATGAAAACAGAAAATGAGAAATACTACAATAATAAAACAGAAAACTACTGTAATATTATATCACAACATTACTGTCATTTTACAGTAAAATAAGATCAAATTTTACAATATATTTATACAATATACGTCATATTCATTGCTTTTAGCAGTGCACCAATGCATAACTGGCCTCAAAACTAAGAGCTTAGCTGAACGCCAAAAAAAATCAGATTTTTAAGTGCATGGGGTCTTTAAAATGATACACTTGTGCAAACACAAAGACACAAAGCCATGTCAGTAGTAAAAAAAATTAAAAAGCAGCTTATGTGCAGCCAAAAGCTATGGGACATTTTACCTGTCTTGCTTCCGTGGCAAAGTGTTACGGTTGAATTTAGGACTGTTAGAGGGAGAGGAGAGGGGACTGGGGGAATGTGGAGGGGGACACAGGAAAAGCATCGGAGAACAGATCAATACAGAATTAAAGACACCCCAAAAAGCTTCCAAACTGAGGAATAGTGCTTCCTTTAGCAAATATATTGAGCAATTCAAGGTGTTGGAATAGAATGACGACTGCTTCATTTCATTTGTGAATTTTAAATAAATAATTGGGATTGTCAACAAACACAGGAGGATGAAATATAAATAAGAATCTGATTAATTTGTTTCATTTATTTTTCTTGTTTATGATGAAAACACTGCTGTCAGTCCTCTTACAATCCACATTTTACTGTATTGAAATCGAGGGGATTGACATAATTCCATTGATAATGCTGTTATTACACCTTTCACACACACACTTTCATGGAAAATTACTGGTAAATTGCTGTAAAGAGAACATGTGTGAACAGACCCTATATGTATATAGCCTCAAACTATTAAAAAACACAACATTTTTGTATCTGTAATATTTTGTGCTCAAAATAAAATATATATGGGTCAGGAACTTTGCTGTCAAAAGTAATTTCAAAAGTTCACACTTAGCTGATGATTAATAAAGCGTAATTGGCATGCTGTCCTGGGAGAGAGCCCTGAGCTCGTAATATGCTCCAGCTTGAGGCTCCCTCTCGTTAGAAGGGCGAGAGGGGAGTTTGAGCTCAGGTAGGTCTCCAGGACTCCCCTGCTTGTTGGCGTGTGGGCAGTGTAAACTAAGGTTTATCTTAGATGATAACTTGGATTAGTCGATTGGCTATGGTGTATGTCTTTGGATGGTGGGAGGAAACCGGGGAATCCGGGGAAAACCCATGCGAACACGGGGAGAACATGCAATCTCCACACAGAACCAGCGGAGTTCTTGCTGTGAGGCAACAGTGCTAGCCACTGGGCTGTCATGCTGCCCTTTCGGATAAAAGGAGGGAAACTTCAAGACGAAGATAACTGGAGTGAAAATCTCTGGTTATTTATAATGCGTCCGTAATCATCTGATTGGCCAGATTACAGAGCTAATGTGGTGCCAGCTGTGTTGATCTTAAGCATGTGATCCTCTCGAAATTAGTTTATAACCAAACCGCACTTAAATAAAAAAGTAATATGCATAGAAAGTCTTTTAAAAAGTCATGTGTTTAATATTTTAAATAAAATCCGTATAAATAAAATGTTAAAATATGGCTGAACATTTTTCTTCCAAACGTCATTTAAACATTTCTGTCATGACAACTTTCGGAGAGATTATTTTAGTATGGTAATAATAAATATGTATAGGGCAATGTTAATGTATTTGATCTTGGTGGAGTAGATCTGCTATGCTGCTGCTGCTGCTGCTGGTTTGTTTATTATGACAGAGCAAGTACCGAGACTTGCTACTGCCAGTATATTCACAGACATGCTGTCTGATATATATATATATATATATATATATATATATATATATATATATATATATATATATATATATATATATATATATATATATATACATGTTTAATACAAACTTCATAATAATTCATGACACTTTTCCCACATTTAAAGGCTGTTAAATATGACCATAAAGACTCAAAAATCCATTAAAATTCAGAATCTAATTCAAATAATAAGAAAAAAAACAACAACTCATTATTAGAACCATGTTTTTCTCAGACTCACCTCTCTGACATGCCTGTCTTGGCGCTCCCTGTCCGCATCAGTGCCGGGTGGACATCATCACGGGGATGCCCGCTACCCACAGACATGTCGATGGACTCGCTGCTGGTGTGCATGCTGCTGACGGATGGGTACCCGAGGGCTGAGGAGCTGCTGATGGTGGTTCCCCAGGTCCCGGTGCCCGTAGAGTACACTGAACCCGGACTCGATGCCTGTTCACTGCCCCCTATGCTGGCACCTCGACCCCCATACAGGGGACTGCTGCCACCGCTTCCTGGGACAGTAGAGGGGGAGTCCAGGGGCCCGCCGGAAGACTGGGTGTGACCGAGGGTGGCGTGAGGGTTGGATATAACCATTGAGTTTTTCATGCTCTCTGCAGTGGTGACTGGGGCTTGCTTGGCAGCTTTGCCTCCAAAAAGTCTGAAAGAAGAAGGAAGAGAACAAGAAACTATGTTTAAAAAAGAACTGAGAAAACAACAAACTTAGAAATCATAATTAAAAGAAAAAATTACGAATAAAATGTTACATCAAATGAATTACAGAAGTGACTTATACATTTACTTATTCTTCTAGTTATTCTCCTATATGTAGAGTTGTATTGTACAGTTGAAATAAAAATTATTAAACCTCCTGTGAAATTTGTAATACTTTTTTAAATATTTCCCTAAGTGCTGTTGAATGGAAAAAATATTTATAAAGGTCCTGTGAAGTGCTTTTGGTGTTGTCTCCGCTGGCGATTACTTCATGTAGTCCATTGCAGGCACCAGAAGTGTTTTCTCTAGCTGGAATTTAATTCTGAATGAATTACAACTCCCAGAACTCTCTGCGCTCATCAACTCCTATAGCAGCTGACAATAATCTGGACACTCACACACAGTCACAGCTGCAGCTCATGATTCACTGATTAGAAGGATTGTAAATACTGAACACTTTCACTCACACATGGCTGAGTCTTGTTTCTTTATAAACTTTACAAAGCGTTTTCCTTGTTTGATTTTCCCAGGTTTTTGATCCTAGCCTTGTACTTCGTTCTGATTCATTGCCACCAAGTCTGATCTCTCGCCTGTATTTTGACCACGATTATTGGATTACCCTTATGATATTGATTTGCTTCTGTTTATAACCCTTGCCTGTACGACCTCGATTTAAATTGACTGCATTTGGATCTGCAAGTCTTTTGTCAGCGTCCCACTCCGTAACTTTCTGAAGCCAATCAAAAACATATATATTTTTAAAGGGGGCTAATAATATTGAAATAATACTGTATTTTTATTTTTTTAAAATAATTTTTAAACAATAAAATATTACTATTTTTTATAAGTAACTTTTAAATAATTATTTTTTTTTATGCGAGATCTATATAATAGATGCACCAATGAGGAAATTTGCCTATACCAGTAACTTTTTATTTCTTTTTATATTTATGTGAGCCAATAGCTGATGTATAGGTAGTTAAAATAATTCTTAAAACAATAAAAGCTCATTTAAAAACAAATGAAAAAAATAAAAAGGAGAACTGAGTATATGTATAAATGTAAAAAACAATTAAATGAATGGAAATGCCTAGATCTTTCTTTTTGCAAAAAGTACAATTTTTCACATTAAAATCATTGCAGACTTCTTGTATTGTCTTAAGAATAAACTCTTCTGGTTTGTAGATGGCACTGTCTTTCCTTCGGAAGTTAATTAACACAATTTCATAATCTTTTATAAGCATTTATAATCTACAAAGAGTAGAGATGTGCATTCCTGCTAGTATATCTACAATCCCCCTTAAACACGCTTATACCAGTGAACTGAGATCTTCAGAAGAGCATGATAATTACAGACAGGTGTTTATGATTAAGTCTGGAGCTAAACTCAACAGGTTGGTAAATCTCCAGGAACAGGATTGGGCAAACCTGACTTGAGGGTTTAGAAAATCCCTAAATATTAGTACAAAAAGGTACGAGTAACTCATTGCAAAGACTCTCAGTTTTCATTGTATGTCCCGTTTCGACATGTAAAGCTCAAAAGAAAAACATGGGTTTATCCTTAGAAACAGTGGGAAAAGATTAAACACACTTTGCTCATCAATAACAGGAGTGTCTCCGAGGGAATGGCGAGCCACCCTGGAGAGTCGTGATCCATGACCGCCATAAAGCAGGTTATGTAAACAGTTTCAGAAAGACCCTAATCATGGTGCTGGAAGAGGTTACAAAAACTCATTCCTTCTTTCACATGTTTGGCTATTCAAGAGGGGCCCGCCATGATGAATACAGCCATTAATTGAGGAAGCGTCACTGGAAACACTGATCTATGAGGGTGAAATTCTGTGTGTGGTAAGATTTTTGCTGTTTGTTCAAGTTACTTGTTTAATTTGTTAAGAACACATTTTTTTGAAAATGTGAGACAATTTACTGTATTTATATAATGTTGAATTTATTAAATTTGTAGCAGATAAAATAATACAAAATAAAGTGTGGTTAGCACTGTCGCCTCACAGCAAGAAGGTCGTTGGTTCGAGTCCTGGCTTGGTCAGTTGGCATCTTTGTGTGGAGTTTGCATGTACTCCCCTGTTCTCCGAGTGCTCTGGTTTCCCCCACAGTCCAAAGACATGCGGTAAAGGTGAATTAAATAAACTAAATTGGGGTAAAATGAGGGAGGGATGTTTCTCAGTACTGGGTGGCAGCTAGAAGGGTATCCACTGCGTAAAACATATGCTGGATAAGTTGGCGGTTCAGTCCATTGCGCCGACCCCTGATGAATAAAGAGACTAAGCCAAAAAGAAAATGAATGAAGGAATAAATTAATAAAAGTAAAATAAAATAAAATAAATACGTTTGTGCTGGGACAGAAATAAAGATTTTTTTTCTAGTTATCTGGCTAGTGAATGTATAGTTAAAGCATGCTTTGTATTAAGAGGAAAGTAATCTCTGTAATAAAAGTAATCTTAGTTTGGAGATTTAGACGAGTTTAAATAAAGGTTTTGATTTTTGAGGTTACCACTGTGCAGAAGAGTAGCGCTAATGCTTAGTGCTAAAGTGGCTTTATTAATAACTCCAACAACTCTTAGTTGATTCAATGAACAATAAGTGCAAATAGCATTTATAAGATTAGTCTTTCATTACTTAATGCATATGTCATACTCTTATTAGCAAAATTAAGTATTTGCATAAGTAGATTACATACAATGTCAATGGAAATATATACTTTAAAATATATTGGTTAATTAACATTTTCCGTATTTTACAATTCAAAGGTTTTTACTGTTTATTTATGGTAATGAATTGCATTGTGGGACCTTCATCAGTTTTGATGTTGAAAATTCAACTCTGCAGTTTAACAAAGTGTCTTAAAATAACAGAAGTAGTTGCAGTTTATTACCTGGTTTTAAAAAAATATATATATATACAAAAAAATTATAATAAATAAATACATTTTATTTGCTTTTTTCCCTTAATTTCTGTTTAATGGAGAGAAGATTATTTCAACACATTTTAAACAATAGTTTTAACAACTCATTTCTTGTAACAACAATATTTTATTTTTGCCATGATGACAGGAAATAATATTTGACTAGATATTTTTTTAAGATACTTCTATGCAGCTTAAAGTGACATTTAAAGCCTTAACTAGGTTAATTAGGTTGATTGGCAGGTTAGGGTAATTAGGCAAGTTATTGTATAATGAAGGTTTGTTCTGTAGACTATCGAACAAAAATTAGCTTAAGGGGCTAATAATTTTTACCTTAAAATGGTTTGTAAAAAATTTAAAACGGTTTTTATTCTAGCCGAAATAAAACAAATAAGACTTTCTCCAGAAGAGAGAGTTATTCAAATAATTCAACTCGAGCACAAAATTCACTTGAGGTGAAAAACATCCTGTGAGTAATCTAGAGCCAGTCACAAAGATTAAACTGCAATACTTAACAAACAATTCTGATTGTTTAAACTATGCAAATAAAATATATTGCCTTAGAGTAAACTGTGTCCAAGCTCAATTCATAAGATAAGTGTTTTGATCTCATTTGCTCAGCATAATTTTTTTAAAGATTTATTTTTGCCCTTTTTGCCTTTATTAATAGATAGGACAGTATTGAGACAGGAAGCGAAGTGGGAGAGAGAGGGGGGGTTGGGTAGGCTAGGTAAATCTCGTCGAGCCGGGATTTGAACTCGCGACGCCCTGACGTGCTATTGCACCATACGTCGGCGCGCTAACCACTAGGCTATTGCACCGACTCCTCAGAATATATTTGTTGCTGGGTTACATTTGCCTCAATTAACCCTTGTGTAATGTTCAAATGGACAACCCTTTGGTTATGTTCGTGGCTGTTTTTTCCTTATTGACTTCCATTATAGCGTGATGTTTTGAAATAAACCTATAATGCTATAGAAATAAAGATTAATTGAATTTAATTGAATTGCAAAGCCTTGACACCAAATAATCGTGCAGGCTTGATGGTTGGTGTCAGGAAGAACTGGCACCATTAAGCCTTTAAAGAGGCCTGTGTAAAAAAGTTTCTGGCTTTTATATGGAGGTCTATGCGTGTATAAATACACTTACTATGTTCTGACCAAAAACAATCCAACAATCAAGAATACATAATAATATGGTTTCATGGCTTTGCATTAAAAATGTCATTATAATAAAATAGGGCAAAAACAGCCACGAACATAACGAAGTGGTATTACGTTTTTCCAGAGTGTACTGTTAAGTTTTTGAAAACTTTTGAAGTACTTTTCCAAAATATGTGTCAAAATAAGAATTGGCACTAAAAATACTTCATTTTGCTGAAACAAACAGAAAGTTGTGGCCAAATTAAGACTCAAAATCAACCCAGAGTGGATGAAAACATCTCCAACAGCACACAAAGGTCAAGTTTGGAAAACGTGTTTCATTTATTCATTCAAATTACTTTGACTTAGTCTCTTTATTTATCAGGGGTCGCCTCAGCGGAATGAACCACCAACTTATCCTGTATTTGTTTTACACAGTAAATGCCCTTCCAGCTGCAACACACACACACATCCATACACACACTTTTTAGTAATTAAGTTTATACAGTTCATCTATAGCGCATGTCTTTGGACTGTGGGGGTAAGAATCAGACTGTCCAGAGGAAACCCATGCAAACACAGGGAGAACATGCAAATTCCAAACAGAAATGCCAAGTGACCCAGCCAGGACTCGAACCCTACAACCCTCTCAAAGTGAAGCGACAGTGTTAATCACTGAGCCATCGTGTTGCCCAAAACGTTTCATAAATTAAAAAAGTTTCTTTAAGTACCTTCGTAATGTTGGGGACGAGACCTCGCTGTACTTGTTTCCCTGTCTAGCCGTCTGAGGAATAGTCGCTGCCCCTCCTCCCGAAACAATCGGATTGGTTCTTGTGCTGTCAATATCTGAGGCCACGCCCTTCTCCTTGTCCGTCTGATTGGCTTGGATTGCATGCCCGTTGGTTTTAGGGCCAGGATCTCTGGGTTTATTGGCTGTAATAGCAGTAAGGAGTGGTGCTCGGGTGAGTAGGCTGGACTCGATGCTGCTTGTGGAGGATCTGTTTCCATTGCGGGCCGCGGCTCCGGATCGAGAGGGTCGAGGTAAACTTCGGTACTGCAGCGTTGAGCGAGCACTGGGCGACAGGTAGCCATCCTCCTGAGGGGGTAATAAACCATCCACAGCTCCTTTTAATGACCCTCTGCTACCAACTAAAAGAGCGGAGGATTTAGGAATTTTGCCCAGTGTAGCGGAGCCACTGGTAATAGTGGCACCACTAGCTGTCACTAAAGTAATGCTGGCGGTGGTTATGACATTGGACGGGTTGTGGACACCATTGGGTTTCTTGAAACCAAATGTGCTTGTAGGGACTCGGCCTGCGGTGGTTTTCTTGGCTTCGTCTCCACTGCTTCGGCCGGTGTCCGAGGAGGAATGCTGAAGGATGTTGGAAGAGGGAGACATGCAACCTTTTTCCGAAACCTTGGCGTCATCTGTTTTGCCTAATGGATGAAAAAAGGTTACAACTGGATGAGTTAATAATGCATAAAAATTGCAGATAAAGTCAAACACTGTGTGTGGGATTACAAAGTATGATTAAATTATTAAATAAATGATAATAACAAAAAAACAGGTCCAGGCTTGCTGTGCTTCTATTATGGTTTATGCGCCTGCTATTTTTTTAAAATCATATATTAATCTGACTATACAATATCAACAACAATTCTAAAAATTATAATTATCATATTTAATTAGTCATTAATAAATAATAAACATTTGATTTATTTGTTTTATTAATAAAAAAAATTAAGTAAAATAACAGAAAGCTATTGGTATTTTTGTATTTATTTTACATTGCTTTGCCTTAATTTGTGTTGGCAAAGTGCTCCTCTTGTCTTTCCTCCTTTTTTTCAACTACCCGCCCGATTATTTAGACCTTGGTATCCTGATTGTTTTCACCTGTCTCTCATATGCTTTGTTCTATATATTGTGCTGCGTGTTCTCATTTCTTTGCTGGTTTGTTCCATGTGAGCTTGTCTTTGCTTATCTCGTATCCTAGGCTTGTATCCTTACATAGTGTTTTGTTGTGCCTGTTCTTCTAGTTCTCTTATTTATGGATTTTATTTATTCGTTGTTTGTTTGCTTTAGCTACTACTTTCTTTTTCTTGTTGCTAGGGTTTGCTTAATTTTGTCCTAATCCTTGTCTTTAATACAACTATTTTTGTTCCATTTTTCTGTCAATCCCAGTCTTGTGTTAGTAGTTGATTATTAGTTGTCTATTTGATTAATTTCTCTCTTTAAGATTCTAGAAGTCTTTATTTAATTTTATGTTTCATGCGCTTTTCAGCCTAGTCAGTCTAGTTTCCTTTCTACTAGGATTTATATTGATTTCCTATTTTCTTTTCGAAAACAATTTACAATTACTGCTGCCTGTTTGCTGTCCTGTCTTGTCTTATACTTTTCAAGTCCTATCCTGTGTCCTGACTTCCCTGGCCTGGAGTTTACGTGGCTTGCTCCTAGTATCTAGTTCTGGTTTTGACCAATGTTGCTCCTACTTCTGGCTGGCTGTTTATTCTGGTGCCATCTTGTCCTTACCACTGGCTCCCCTGTGTTCCTGCTTCTACTCTTTTGACCTTGTCATCTCCTTGTCTGTCTACTTGTGCTTAATTCCATCAGTAAACACTTTTTTGTTCATTGCTGCAACTGGGTCCACTTTCTTGCAACCACAATGACAACAATATAATTTTTCTTGTTATTCTTATATTATTTTAAAATAGTAAACATGTAAAATATGATTCCATTATGAATATTACTATTAAAATATGACAAAATATTAAACAGATTAAGATTTAGCATGTTTTGTCTTGTTAAAATAAACAAATATTTCTAAAAAAATTTGGAAAAATAATTAAGAATTGCAATACTTTATTAAAACTATACTGTTTGACAGAAATCAAATAAAACAGCAATTTCTCTGATCTGCAGTGTTTGTTTTAGTGGTTTCTATTTAGAAATCACTATGACTACACACTGACAATGTTTATTACATATTAATGTAACTATATAAACATGATAAATATATTTTTTCATTATTGCCACTATTTTAATTAAAACAATTGCACAAATTAAGATAAAGCGGTCTTACAATATTTTCTTGTATAAAAAAAAGAAAAATTAATATAAAGAAGATGAAAACAGATTCCACTGGATGATTTATTGTGAACTGCTTAGATGTATATCTATTTAATTAAAAGTCATACTGCGATATGCTTTATTTCACGATTTAAGTGCTTTTGAAAAATGAACACCTACCTGTCCCTTGTGTCTTGATGATGCTGGATCCTGAGGAAACAGATGTACTCTTGGTACGGGGCACAGTCACTCCAACCTGTGCGCTCATGCCTCTCCTCCAGGACCCTGTCTGAGTGACTGGTGCAGTTTTTCGTCCAGAACTGCTCTTATCAGACTCCTCCGATACATCCGAAGGGTTTCGACGCCACTTCAGGCCCGAGTCTGATTTGATGCTGCAATCCAAACCACCGTCAGACTTCTTGACCTCATCGATGGATCGAGAAGTGTTACGTTCAGCTGCTGAATGCTTCTCTGCATCAGTCTGAGGCTATGGAAAACACAGATTTGGTGAATGTAGAGTTTTAATAGCACACTGTTTAAAAAGTACAGCAACTTTTAATTTTTAAGCTGAATTCAATCAACTTTACAAGTCGTTTCTATGTACAGTTGAAGTCATGTTATCGTGATTATCATGGTCACAATAATTTTACAGTGTACTCACACTTACCAAATTCACCATTACATAGGGCTGGGCCAATAAATGATATTAGAGTATATCAAATCTTGATGAAATTGATGTCAATAACATTGATAAACTCTGGACTGTTTTACTATATATTGATGTAAGAAATCAGAAGCAGAAATGTGCAACAATGGGAATCTAAAAGTGTGTTTATATTAGAGATTTACCAAATTTTCGGACACTGAAAATGTATTAAATTTTGTTAAAATATAATAAAATTGCTAAAATATATTATGCCATTCAATGGAACCTCTAATTTTTGTCGCTTCAGTCATTTTTGGGCTACTCTTTTAAATCTGGAAGCATTAACAACTTACAGTATATCAGAATATACATCGTTATTGTTCAATATGGAAAATAATAATTGAGATTACATTTTTGCCATATCGCCCAGCCCTACCATTACAATATAGTAAACATTCAGAAAATCCAAAACTTTAAACTCAAAGTTTTTGTTTCAAAATGCTTATTTGTTGTACTTTTTATTGTGAGATGGAATGTCAATTGCTTTGGCTTAAAAACTGACACTTTATGAAGGTATCGAGCAGAGGAATGTGAGAGTTGGGTTCAAGTAAACAGAGAGAGAAGCGAGTTTCATAAGAAGAAAGAAGAACATAACCGCTTTATGTAAGATGTAGCTGGATCAAAAATAAATGTTGTGCAGAGGGGGGAAAAGACACCGAAAGGAACTGAGAACAATAGTAGCTTTGTATGGACCGATCTCCAATTACTCTGTTTAAAATCTTGGGGTATAGAAATGAAATAAAACAGTGTGTATGCAGGCAGTTTAGTGTTCTACCATGATTGATAGATGCAGTAAGCCAATTTTTAGCCAATGCTAGTATGATTTTGACACGTGTTTTAGAATTGTTTTCTTCTTGGACTTTGGTTTATCACTGTTAACCCAAAAAATCTACAAGCTTAACATACACAGGGTAGGAAAAATGCAACACTACGATAAATGATAAATTAAGTCTGTACAACAATTTTTGGAGATTAGCAGAGTAATTAAGGGTGCTTCCACACCTGTGGATCGATTCTTTTGTTCCAAAACAGGGATTAAAATTGTTACAATGTTTATTTTTGTTCTTTGTGTGGTTCGCTTTCACATGGTAAAGTTTCTAAATGGACCAAAATAGTTTAAACAAGTCTCATGCAAGTAAACTCTCCTCACATTGGTTACAACTTTAGGGCTTATTTTTCCCATGGATTCCGCTCAGCTGTCATGTATCGTTATTTTAATTTATGATGATGAGCAATAAGTAGGGATGTAACAAAATTGTAAATACCATCATACCGAAATAGTGATTTTTTTCAATATTACCGTAGGCGCATGACTCAATAAAACTATATTTCTGAGAAAAGATTGCTTAGGCAAATGAAGCGAACGGGAGGTAGCAGGACCTACAATTCCCATCAGCCTAGGCGTGGCCATCATCCTTTGCGGTTTGTTGTTAGTACAGATCCAGTAATGCGGAAATGGAGTGTGTTGCTAGTAGCGGGGAAGAAAAAGAGCTGGAAATGATCGAACCTAAAGCGGGTTTTAAATCAGATGTGTGGAAGTATTTCGGTTTCTTTCTAAAAAGATACGAAAAAGGAGAAAAGGTGACAGACAAAGAAAAAAACAGTATGCAGGCACTGCCAGACTGTGGTGAAATATAAGTCGGGGAATACGACTAAAAACAGTCATGGGGACTGCAGAACACAGCACACTTGTTAGATTGATGCAGACATTGACTTGTACCGCAAAGAGACCTCTATCTCACTCATGGCTTGTCCTCTCAAGTGGTGGAAAGACAATGCACAACGTTACCCACTGCTGTCAACCTTGGCTAAATCATATCACATCATCTCTCTGTCCCAACCTCAGTCCCAAATGAGTGGGTTTTTTCTGTTGCAGGGGACATGCTCAGAGATCCCAGCTTTTACCAGATTATAGTTATATGATAATTTTCCTTAAAAAACCCATCTCTATCTAAGTGAGTGCATGATTAAACGTTGAATGTGATGAGTTTTCAACAATACTAAATTGAAACTTTATTTGTTTTATATGGTTTAATAGTTTTTTGTTATTAAAATTGAAAAATTGAAGTTCCTGTTTCAAAACTTACAGATAGATGGCTGATTTGTATGTTACTGATATGTTCAGTGCTAAGGTAAATAAACACTTTTGGCACTTTTTTCGAGTCTTTTCATTATTTTTGTTTTTCCTGTAAATTATTCAATAAATACCGTACCATGCCATTCATACCGAGGTATTATCGTACCGTGAAATTCTGATACTGTTACATCCCTAGCAATAAGACATTATAAACGAAACTTTGCACTTTAATTTTGACACCCACATTGTCACCAAATATAAACCAGAAGGGTTAGACTTTATTTTGAGTTTCCATTCTACTGAATCAATCAATCTGTTATAAAACACTGGCTAGAATTCTGCATTATAGGCCTACATTACAGAGAGAAATAACAGATGAACCGAGACTGCAGTCAGATCATGAAGCAGATCAACGTTGATCTTTCTTTTGAGGTGTCAGTTCAGAAATTAACAAAACAATGGGCCTAATGCAAAATATTATAAGATTAAAATATGGACAAATTATCAAATGGTAATTTCTGTCAGTGAATAAACAGCTCTCATTAATATTTCAGCATGCTTTTACTTTCGTATTCGACATGAAATGCACATTTACTGGAAAGAATGACATCCCACCCAACTCTTTTCTCTTTGTATAGCTGTATATATGGCTATTACACAACCACAATACACTGTGATATGGCCTGGTTCATTAGTTACTACAATTGATCCGCACCAGAAATTGTTTCAATTGAGCTGAGACTACCTTATTCAAGCTGTCTCGGATCAGTTGTTTTGGTGCAGATCAAAATGTGATTGCTAGATTTACATATGCAACACGCATCATGCTAATTAGGCAAACGAGACTTCTGGTTCTAAGAGGTTCTGAAACAAACGTCCAGTGACGACTCGTATTAGACTGGGGGAATCCTTGTCTCTTGTCACTGCTCTGTCTTTCTGTGTGACATTTGTGTGCCTGTCCTATTCTCTGTGGTTCGCTTTAGTTTGAGTTATACATCTATTCAGAAAGTCCAAGCTAAATCTGCTTAAATCTACTAAAAAGAAAGTGAACGTGAAGTACATCACGTGACTTACATTTTACACACAAGTAGTTGATTCTCTGTTAATCCATAGGGTCAGAAGCGGGTGCTACCCTCTGTATGTTTTTCCAGAGAGAGCAATTTAGTAAGGGGCTTGTGATGCCGAAGATGTTTTTTTTCTTTTCAGATTGCTCTTAAGTTATTTAGAGGTGGGGAGGGTTTAGTTAGCAGGTGTTGTTGCCACCGATTTATTCCTTCCCTCTGTAAGGTTTGTTTCAACTGATTTGTTTGGCTATTTTGCATTCATTGTACACATTTGTAAATATACTTTAGGTGATTAAATATTCTCTTTTTTCCCTTATCTTTATTGTAAATAAAGCGAACCACTTTTTACCATGTCCGTTGTCTATGTCGATCCATAGCAGCTAACGTCTCAGGGAAATCCTAAAAATATTGGGTTGTCATAATTATGTTTAGCCCTTTTCATCCTCCAAGCCACACAGGACGTAACAGTGTGAAAGCACCCAAAATCGAACAATGCTTTCCACAAATTTGGCTTCTGGGCTCTGATAAACGCACAAATATGCGATACTGGATAAGAGTGCTAATAATAAATGCACAACACTATGTGTGTATGTGTGTACCGGTTTAGGTGGTTAACAAGGACCTCACAAAATTGTATAATGTCATGCGTATGACCTAGTTCGATTAAAAGTGGATATGAGAACATGCCTTATTCCTCATAATTCAAAACTCTTAAAATATACAGTACAATATTTTAATTTTGCCACAGGTTTCATATGGAGTTCAGATTTAATGGTAGGGGTAGAATAAGCCCAATTAATGGGAGTTTTTTAAAGGTCTGATAAAATGAAAATGAAGTTTTTTAGATGTTAGTATCAGTATTGTGAGTTTTAGAATATCTAAAAGCTAGTGTGCAACAAAACAGTGACAAACGTTTAGAAGATATAAAACCGATATAAACTTGTACTGTAAAGCTTGTGGTTTGCCACGTCCACCTAAATGGATCAACGTTTTTATTCATCACCTCATAGTTTAGGTTCTTATCAAATCTTGACCAATCAAATGCTCTCTAGTATTTTACATGCCCCGCCCCCTTCAAGATGCTTCACATTTGATGCGATTCAGCTGAACTACCGTCACAGGTAGAGCTGAGAATAAACAAAACGCTATCGGTTGTTTTTTGAATAAGGGGAGGAGCTACTCTATGTCTTATCCTCTCTTTATGCTTTAGTTGAGATTATGCCAAACTTCGAATAGAAAATGCACATTTCAAAGCACCTCACAGAACTATAAAATACACTACGCCAATGGAGAGTCCTTGTAAACCATATATACAAGCGTTTGTGTGTATGTGAGTGTATGTATATAAACGTCTGCAGGTCATACCTGTCCATTCAGGCCCTTGCGGGACGCAGCTGGGGTGTTGGCGTAAGAGCTTATGGAGGAGCTGGTGTTGATGTCATCAGTATCAATCGCATCACTGATCCCACTGCTGACTGAGCTACTGTCATCCCAACTGAAAGACAAAACGAGAGACATAGATTTCAGAAGAATCTTCAGAGCGGAGTCTGTCTTCAAAGATGAACCATTTCATCAGCGCACATTTGCTCTCAAAAGGAGCGTTAGTGATTTTTGAACCACATTATAGAGTTATATGAAGAACACACAATATGATATGCTGAACTCCACACTTTTGGCTCTGCTCGGGGTCACGGTGGTTAACCAGAGTGACTGATCACTGTGTTTAATATCATCCACTTGCTTACGGGTGGCCATAATCATTCAGACCGTACTATGACAACAGAAGAAAACACAAACAAACACACACACCAACGCAAACTCACCAGACACACAAAAGAACAAGTGAACTGTTTGACCTTTAACCCCAATTTGTCACAAAGAGAAGAGAAGAAATAGATGAAAGTTGGTGCTGAAAAAACAAGCAAACAAAAAAATCAAACACATATGAAGAAGAATAGACAAAAAGTTTATGAAGGCACAGACCACTCTACTCTATGTTATGCCCATGGCAACTAGCTGCTATTATTTAGAAATATCAGTCCACTTTATATTAGGTGGTCTTAGCGATTATCTATTACACTGAAATGAATGATTTGTTTCAATGTACTTACTGTTGTACAGACCTATTTTACATTGTTCTTCAATCAATTAAATGCATGTAATTACATCTGTAATTAAAAATATTTGTAATTACACTATTGACCATCCCTTGACCCATTCTTAAAGGGGTGGTCCACTATGATATCATGTTTATTTCATTAGCTTTTACAAAGTTCGCTGAGCGAAGCCTACAGAAAAAAATACATTTGGGTTAATGATGTCATAAACCCTTCAGGTTACACACATACATCCCGCGCAGTGAAGGGGAGTGGCCAGAGGCGCTGTAATGTTATAACAGAGATGCTTCTTGGTGATGTGGAGCTGACCTGTGAATCACAGTACATTATGTTAGCTGACCAATCAGAGCCTCTTGAGGGCGGGTCTTCAGAGGAACTAGGAAATATGTCGTTTTCATGTTAGCAGCGTAGCTGTATGTAATCAAAGTAAGATAAATGAAAAAAATAATGTGTTTTTCTATGAATGAAGCATGAGCACACATTGCTTTACACCCCATAAACTCAACCAAGCCTTAAAAATACACTCTGGACCCCCCTATAACCTACCCGTATCCCACCTCAAGGGCACTTGAAGTGTTCTGCAAGACATTATGAACACAGTAAGAACATTAGATTTATTTTGTGTTGCAAGTATATAAACATTAAGGCCACCTAATATAAAGTAGGACCAAAAATCTATTTAATTTACATCACCTTGGTGTAACTTTTAAATAAAATGTCTAAAAAAAAAACGTAAAGGTACTTGAGGAAGTTCAAACCACAAACCTTTATTTAATTTTATTCACATTAATTTTGAATTTATTCATTAATTTTATACACAAACATCTATAGACAGAAGGATGTGTAAATTAAGTATTGAAGAACACACATAGCCATGCTATTTTGAAGTGAACAATCCACTCCAAAATGAGCGTTTCACTAGTCACACTCTAGTGGTTTTATGAATTTCTTTCATCTGTTAAACACAAAACAAGACATTCTGAAGAATGTTGAGGGAAAAAAAAAATTAGGAATAAAAAATACTATAGACTGCCTTTTTTGCAACATTTTTAATATACCTTCCTTGGAGTTCAACAGAAGAAACTCAAACATGTTTGAGAATGAGTAATATTAGTGATATTCATCTTTGGGTGATATTTTCAATAAAATCACACAGATAATACACATAAACACTCTCTACCTGACTCGATGTCTCTGGCCGCCAATGATACCAGTAGCCGGAGCGGAAATAAGAAGATTTATCTCAGAGAAAAAGTGCCTCATGATCATAAACTCGAAATGCACACACACAAAAAAACTGTATTTGTTCCACACAAGTCCATGCAGTCTCAAATCCCCTCCTTCGTCTTGTCACTCCATATGTCTGCTTTTCTATTTTAGTAATTTGATCCTTAAAAGAGATATTTCAGCGCTAGCGTTCGCTGGAGTCGCCATAGACCGAAAACCCAGAGAAGCACTCACTCACATCCACACAGAGCATGAGGAGGACAAAGACAGAGAGACAATAGAGCTCCCAAAGACACATTTACACAAGCACACGCTCGTTTTCTCTCTTTCACACACTTGCGCATACTGGAACCACCCTATACTGGGTCTAGGATGCTAATTAGAGATCAGCGTTTTGAGTGTAGCTTGAATGAGGGTTTTTCTCTGGCTCGATACCCTGCCATTAGCGTCTCCAGTGGCCCAGCAGGCCAACCAGCCGTCCTTCTTTAAACAGCACCTCCACATCGGCCCACCGCAGCCTGCATTTCTGCATGAGAACTCAATCCTGCGCTAAAAACCTGCTGGGCTGACGTCAGTTTCTTCAGTATGCACATATAAACACACATAATCTATAGGCCAAATACACTTGATGGTTATCAAAAATATCAGAGAACTGGAGGTGACATCGATCTTATTTCTTGTTTCTACATTAAATGATTTGCATAATGTATTAGGATTTTAATTGTTTTTATATATATATAAAAAAGTGCAAATTCTGCTATTACCTGTAATGATTTTCAATACTGTGCTTGCTTTCCCAAAGCGGTGCAATATCACCACCCTTTTTTCTTATTTATGTAGTTTATTTTTTATTATTTACTTTTCAACAAAGAAAGTGGGACATGTTGGGAAAGAAATTTTAAGCACAGGGATAGAGGGATTTGGGGTTAAACCAGGCTAGTGTGTGTGTGTGTGTGTGTGTGTGTGTGTGTGTGTGTGTGTGTGTGGTAGAGTAGGTTAACTGGCAGGTTTTTACGAAGACCGTTACGTTCCCAAACAGTTTGGGGCATTCCAGACCTTTCCGATCTCTGCTCTGTGGTACAGGAATGACAAAGCTCACTGACCACAAAACATATAAGAGGTCAACAGGCGTTCTATTCTGTCCACTGCGGTTATCGTTTTTTCCCCCTTTTTACATCAACTATTTTACCAATTCACTTCATATTTGCAGGTTTTTCTTGCAATCTGAGTCTAGTTCAAGACATTTGAACAAGCCAATCAATTAAATTGTTGACTTGAACCGATTGACTGACTCACTTGATTCATCATTTAAAGAAAAATGGGGTACTTTCCGCTGAAAAAAACATGTAAAATAGATAGAATGGAGAATGTAGGGTGTATAACCATTTCTACACAAAAAGGGTAAGTAGATCTGACAAATAATTTAGAAATGAATGCCATTGCATAATTTTTAAGTAGAAAAAACTCAAATTAAATGTAATATTTCATTTCAGAACTTCACTTTTTTCCCTTTTTCAGAGCTGGATGTGGACAACAGATTTAAAATTTTTCCAAATGTACAGAAAATCTTCCACACATCTCATAGCTGCAAAAAAAAAAAAAAAACACACTTCTAGATGCATTTTGCCAGGTTTATCAACATGACAAGACCAGAGTGACCATGTTTTCATGAAGATAAATATGATTGCAAATTTGACTTTTATATACTGTGAGAGTTCAATCGAGTAGTTTTCATTAAATAATTGTTTGTACAAAATTGTCAGTTAACTTTTTAAACTTTATTTCTTTATAGAAAGTAATCCAACATAGAAACAGCTGCACATCTCTGAAAAATACCACAATGTTTCTTTATTGAATGATTCAGCATTGTTGAATGAAACGAGTGAGTCAATGATTCAATGGTCCATTCTTAAATACATGCACCCAATTCATTCTAGAATAAATACGCCTAAATACAGATTCAGGTAAAATAACAGTGCTGGTATTGTTGGATCTCAGTGCTGCATTTGACACTGTCGATCACAGCATACTTCTGGATAGGCTGGAAAACTGGGTTGGGCTATCTGGCACGGTCCTCAAATGGTTTAGATATTACCTTGAAGGTAGAGGTTAACATGTCAGTATAGGTGACCATAGGTCGAGGTGGACACCCATGACGTGTGGAGTCCCACAAGGCTCGATTCTGGCACCTCTCCTGTTCAACTTTTACATGCTCCCTCTGAGCCAAATAATGAGAAACAACCAAATCTCCTACCTTAGCTATGCTGATGACACTCAGATCTACCTAGCCTTACTGCCTAATGACTACAGCCCCATTGACACCCTCTGCCAATGCATTGATGAAATTAACAATTGGATGTGCCAAAACTTTCTTCAGTTAAACAAAGAGAAAACTGAAATGATTGTGTTTGGGAACAGAGATGAGGTTCTCAAGGCAAATGCGTACCTTGGCACTAAAGGTCAAACGACAAAAAATAAGGTCAAGAATCTTGGTGTGACTCTGGAGTCAAATCTGAGTTTCACTAGTCATGTCAAAGCAGTCAGTAAATCAGCATACTATCATCTCAAAAACATAGCAAGAATCAGATGCTTTGTTTCTAGTGAAGATTTAGAAAAACTTGTTCATGCTTTTATCAGCATCTGGGTGGATTACTGTAATGGACTCCTCACTGGTATTCCTAAAAAGACAGTCAGACAGTTACAGCTCATCCAGAACGCTGCAGCCAGAATTCTGACCAGAACCAGAAAATCAGAGCACATCACACCTGTCCTCAGGTCTTTACACTGGCTGCCAGTTACATTCAGAATAGATTTTAAAGTATTATTACTGGTCTATAAATCACTAAATGGCCTAGGACCTCAATACATCACAGATATGCTCACTTAATACAAACCTAACAGATCACTCAGATCATTAGGATCATATAAACTAGAAGTTTCAAGAGTTCAGTCAAAGCAGGGTGAATCAGCTTTCAGCCACTATGCCCCTTGCTGCTGGAATCAGCTACCAGAAATGATCAGATGTGCTCCAACATTAGGCACATTCAAATCAAGACTGAAAACACATCTGTTTAGCTGTGCCTTTACTGAATGAGCACTGTGCTGCGTCCGACAGATTGCACTATCATGTTTTTCTCTTCTTCTTCATTCT